CCATAAAGTGACTTGTTGAGCCGGCATACTGATCGAGGCTGAGTTTCAGAGGTGGACAATTTTGGCTGATAACCTTGTGGTAAATCCATAAAAACTTCTTCTTTGAGGTCTCCATTTAAGAAGGCATTATTTACATCTAACTGGTGAAGTTCCCATTTATGGATAGCAGCTAAAGCTAACAAGACTTTGACAGTAACCAACTTAGCCACAGGGGAGAATGTATCAATAAAGTCCACTCCTTCTTGCTGAGTGAAACCTCGGGCCACCAACCGGGCCTTAAACCTGTCAACAGTACCATCATGCTTTCTTTTGATTTTGTACACCCACTTACAACTGATGGTGTGCTTATCTTGAGGTAATGGCACCACTGTCCAAGTGTGATTGTCCTCAAGCGCTGTGAGCTCTTCATTCATAGCTGTAATCCAAGCAGGATTTTTAATGGCCTGTTTGTATGTAGCTGGCTCAATATCTGAAGAAATATTTAAAGTATAGCCTAGAAAATTGGGTGAGAGTTTACTGTAGTTCAGATAATTTGTAATAGGATATAAGGAACCATAAACTGTATTGCACTTGAAATCTTGTAAATAAGCAGGAGGTTTTACAGTTCTGGAGGATTTTCTTGGTTGCGGTTGAGCATTCCCATGAGGAACAGTACCATGAATAGTGACTTGACGCTGAGAAGTACTAGGAATATTACCAGGAAGCTGATATGGATCAGCATCAAGATATAACTCATCAATAGGTAATTTAAAAGAAGGAATAACAGGAGATGTATCAAACTGATTTGCAGAAAGAAAATTATGATTTTTAGAGGCAAAAGGAAAAATAGTTTCATGAAAAACAACATCCCGAGAGACAATAACTTGACGAGTTTGTAAATCATAAACTTTATAACCTTTAACACCAATAGGGTAGCCAATGAAAACACAAGGAGTGGCTCTTGGCTCAAATTTGGATTTATGAACTGGAGAAGAAGAGACAAAAGCTAAGCAACCAAAAACCTTTAGAAAAGTATAATCAAAGGACTTTCCTGCATAAAGTAATTCAAAAGGACATAAATTGTTAAGATTATAGGCTGGAGTTCTATTAATCAAAAACACTGCTGTAGAGACACAATCACTCCAGAATTCAATAGGCATTCTAGATTGAAAAAACAAAGATCTAGCCACATTTAAAATGTGTTGATGTTTTCTCTCCACAACAGCATTTTGTTGTGGGGTATACACACAACTAAATTGATGTAAAACACCTAGATCAGCAAATAACTGTTTAAATTGCAACTCTTGAGCATTATCAGACCTGAAAACTTTAATTTTGGTTCCAAACTGAGTTTCAACCATTTTAAAAAATGCAGGTATAATAGACAAAACATCAGATTTAGCTCTTAGAAGATGAATCCAAGTAAATCTAGAGAAATCATCAACCAAAGTAACAAAATATCTGAAACCAGCATGAGATGAGATTTTGTAAGGACCCCAAATATCGCAGTGAATAAGATCAAATATTTTTGAAGAAGAAGAGATACTGGCAGAAAATTTTAATCTTTTCTGTTTAGCCAAAGGGCAAATATAGCAACAAGAGTTATCAACAGCTTTGCTCATAGGCAAGGAAAACTTGTGAACTAACAAATCAAGTTTAGGCTTAGGAATGTGGCCCAATCTACTATGCCAAACAGTGGCAGAAACTTTATTACAAAAAGAGATATGAGTTTTATTACAAAACATTGAATCAGAAACAGCATAATCCAGAACATACAATCCATCAATTTTGTTACCCTTGCCAATCTTCGTCAAAGACTTGGCCTGATAAATGAGAAATGAAGCATCACCAAAAAGAACATGAAACTGAGTTTGGTATAAAAGAGCACTAACAGAAATTAAATTGAACTTAAACGATGGAACATAGAAGACATTGGTCAATATCAAATCTTGAGATAATTTGACAGTACCAATGAACATAACTTGAACCATAGAAGAATCTGGCAAAATAACTCGAGCATTGGATATAGGAATCAAATCAGTAAAATAAGATTTATTATTGCAAATGTGCCTAGAAGCCCCAGAGTCAATTATCCAATGACTGGGCAAAAACGAGGAATGTAAAAGAGCTGCATAACAGATACCTGACACACATGAAATGTGTGAAGTCTCAGCTGCAGAATTGTTCATGTTGTTCTGTGTAGCATTGGGTTGTTGACTTGCCAATTGATTTGAGAAGTAAGCAAGTAACTGCTGACATTGGTTAGCAGACATATTCGGAAACAAAGTAGGAGAAATATTCTGAGTTTGAAGAACACTTCCTGAATTAGAAGAACAGTCCAGAGGAGATTCAAATTCAGAAACTTGATTGACTGAGAAATTTTTGTGTTGAGCTGATTTATAACCCTGAGCAGCGGCTGGAGGAAGTCGTGGCTTAACCTTGTATCCAGGTGGATATCCATGAAGTTTATAACACTTTTCTATGGTGTGACCATAGATATTACAGTGAGTACAAAAACCTCTTGATTTTCTTGTAGGGCCTGAATTATAGAATTGATTATTGGTAGATTGCCTGGAGTATGTATCACCCTTGGCCGAAAATGCCATGGAACTAGATGCATCAGAAGTAGATGCTTGAATTGATCTCTGTCTTTCTTCTTGGGAAACTAGAGAGAACACCTTGTTGATAGGTGGCAGAGGATCCATCAGAAGTATTTGCCCCCGAGTAGAAGTCAAGGATTCATTTAATCCCATCAAGGAAGCCATTACATACTCCTGGTCATAGTGAGCAGTCAATTTTGCCACACCACCACAGGTGCAAGAACCACAAGTGCAAGAAGGCCTAAAATGTGAAAGTTCATCCCAGATGGACTTCAATCTTGTAAAGTAGACATTAATCGACTGTTGCTCCTGAGTGAGATTTGATAAATCTCTCCTTAATTGAAAAATTCTAGGTCCATTAGTCTGAGAAAACCTAGTATTGAGATCATTCCATATTTCTTGGGCAGATTCAGAGTACATGATACTCGGTTGAATAGCTGGTGAAACAGCGTTTAAAATCCAGGAAATTACTATACTATTGTTGCGTACCCAAGCATTTCGGAGAGCAGCATCTTCTGTGATTGGAAGAGGAATTGTGCCATCAACAAACCCCAATTTATTCTTCACTGTAAGCGAAATCTTCATCGCACGACTCCAGGAGGCGAAGTTATCTTCCGTGAGTAATTGCGAGACTAAAATAAGACCGGGACCATCGGAGGGATGAAGATAGTAAGGGCTCGAAACATCATCCACTCGGCGAGTCGCCATGGATAAACAGAGATCCAGATGCGAAAAACTTGAATTGACGCGAAATTGAAACGAAAAAAATGATTCAGAGGTGCGGAAGAACGAAAGAAATCAACTAAACTGATACCATGTTAAGATTTACAATCATGGAATTTGGGGAACCGCCATTAACGGCTTAGAGAGGATGAAGAAGAACAGATATTTTATTCTGATTGTGGAGAAAAGTTTTACAAGTGAATTGAATTCACGTCATATGTGATGTGTAATATATATAGCTATAAAGACTAACAACTAACTTAAAACTTAAAAGAGAAAGGCGTGTTTTACATAAACACGTCTTCTGTAAAACAATAAAAATAAAATAAAATAAAATATATATAAAAAGAGGAAAAATCTAATATGCTAATACTATGGCAACCAAAAAATAACCAATCCCGTCTAATTACCCCAAGAAAAGAGAGATAAATTTAAAATGATGCTGAATAAGTCAAAAACCCTAAAAATAAAACTGGAACGCCATCAATTATAGCAAATACGAGCTGAAATCAACGCAGAAAGCTACACAATCATGAAATACTGCATCGAGAAAACTAACCCTAAAAATGGTGAAATACTTGGAAGTAGAAGGTGAAATTAGGATCGTCGTATCCAGCGGTCCGCCTCGAGGCTGAAGAAGATCCGTCGGATTATCGAGTCTCGATCTCCGCCGTGATCATCAACAAGCAGTTCACCATTTTTCGCAAATTATGCTTCGCATCATCGCTTTCCTCACTCTGTGTATTTGCCCAATGCCCACGCTTTTTTTCCCTTTTTCAAAATTCTGTACGCGGGTGTTCTACTTGCAAATTCTCAATTGGCAACTAAAATCGTTAGTTATATTTTGATTTTGGACAAGTTTATTATTATTATTTTTTATGGATAATTTACGAAAAAACGTTGTTGTTTGGATAATTACATCTACACCCCTCAACTATGAATCTTCTAACACCTCCACCTTTATGGTGTCAAATTCAACATAATCATCTACATTTCGTGGAATGTGCTCTAATTTGTGTAAAAATACAGTTTCTGATGCACCACAATCTGATATTTACAAGCTAAAAAACACATCTTATGATCATTTTGCTTCAAAATATGGAGTTCGAATGGGATAAAGCGAGTACAAAAGTGATAATATTCCATATAACCTCGAAGATTCCACTAAATTTGAAACCGCAAGGGTGGACGTGTAAGAAAATTTATAGTTGATGGGTGGTTGTGATTAACCAAACATGAGGGGGTTTGGTTGTAATTTACCCTATTTATTATTAGTATTATGTATTTAATTAATTTAGGGCAAGTCGTCCACTTGATCCGATCCCGTTTATTTCAAAATTTGATTTAGTGCAAACCGAATCCATGTGGATCGAACCGAATTTGATAAGATCCATAGAACCGGATCCAAATTCAGCCCTAATAATACATATGTCCAATTGTCATCTTATACATCGGCCTGTAGATGATACATCCGGTAAAATATACCGAATAGTTTTATAGTAAATAGATCTACACTACATCATGCACGGATTATATGGTAATATCGGGCAATCGACTTTTCTACTTATTAGAACTATACCCAACCCAAATATACATGAGTCAGTTAAAATTATCGGTCCGATCAAAACGAGTCGGTTGGCGAGCAATTATCTACCAGAATAGTCCTAGTCCTGGTCAGACAGATAATGGGTTGGTTGTCGGATAAAACCGACCCATGAAAAAAATTCAAAAGTCCAAATGAGATTCAGATGACCAGGAAAGTAAGTCATACAAAGAGTGAACTGTTTCAAATATGCATACAGTTTTCAAGCACATTTTACTGGGAATTCTTGTCTTCACCACATAAATAACTTAGAATTTACACATCTACATTTCATTCAACAAAACTATATATACATACATATATATACAAAGTTTTCCTGTGTAAGAAGAAAAAATATATTACTTAAATGAAATCCAAATGGATGATTGTGTTTTTATTGGAAATTATTTTGACCATAGTTAGCAGCAGATTGGTGGTTAATGCAACAGTTAGGACCATTCAGGTAATGGCTAATAAATACCCTTTTTATTCTAACACATGTAATTAATTTTGTTTTATATTTAATTACTGAAACAAAATTTTTACATTATTTTTTATTAAATTAAAAAATCAATTTTTTTTATTTTTTATTAAAGAGTGAAGATGGAGATGTTATAGATTGCATAGATATGTACAAGCAACCAGCTTTTGATCACCCTGCTTTAAAGGATCACAAAATCCAGGTAATTTCTTTTTTCCCGACAACGTAACAATCGTGTAAAATTGTCGAAACGAATGTTTTAAGAAAAAAAATGTATTTTACTGAGACAGTTGAAACCTAGCTATGATGTAAAAATGGAAATAACATCAGACGGCGAGAAACAAGATTCGGCGACAACGACGACGACACAGAAATGGCACAAAAGTGGAACTTGTCCAAAGGGCACGATTCCCATTCGGAGGAATACAATGCCGAAGAATCTTGCTTCCAAACGGCAACATCCAACGCGCAACCACGGAAGAAAACCCCCCATGCATTCGCAATCGCACTACGACAAGAAATCAAACGAGAACGAAACTGTTTATCTTCAACTCAAGAATCACTCCGTAAGTCCGTTCATGCACGGTCACGAAGTGTCTCGTCACACACACACATGTGGATGTGTGTGTGTTTTTTTTTTTGGAAATATAAAATCTAACTATTATTCGAAATTATTACAGCTGGCATTCTTGCATACAGAAGGGTTTGCTTATTTAGGGGCAAAGGGAGATATACAAGTATGGAACCCACTAGTCGAATCCGACGACGAGTATTCGACTTCTCACGTGGCTCTGAAAAGCGGCCCGTATTACAACTTCGAAGCCATTGAATCCGGATGGGCCGTAAGTTATATATATATATAAAATAAAAACTTCACTGATTGTTAACGAAAACCGGAATTAATTTTTTTGTACTAGGTAAATCCCGGGGTGTACGGAGACCGGCAGACTCGGTTATTCGTTTATTGGACTGTAAGTAATTTTTATGCATGAATGATTTATTTTATGAATATTTTGATAGAATTTAATTGTTTGATTTATATATATATAGGGTGATGCTTCGAAGGAAACAGGGTGCTTTGACTTAACTTGTCCAGGTTTTGTTCAGACAAGCAATGAGTTAGCTCTTGGTGCTGCAATTTATCCTATTTCAAATCTCTCTGGACTCCCTTATCAAATTACTATATTCATCCACAGAGTATGTAATTACCATTTTTATAATATATATATTAGTCGACTTAATTTTATTTATTTTTGCTTCATTAATTGGTTAGTAATATATCTCATGATTCCAATGCTGCATTAATTACATATTTTTCAATTATATCCTTATTAACTCTCCGACACTCTTTCCGCGTTAATTAGTAAACAAGGGTATTTTGGTCTATCTATATATATTTTCCTAAAATCAAGACATATTAATTGAGATTCTTAAGACTCGTGTCAAGATGAAAAACAACGCAAATTTAGGAACGGAGGGAGTATTTGTTTGACTGTATTTTATTTTGACTAATAGTATTATGATAACTGAGGTTGGAAATTAGAACGAATTTTTTTTGAATACTAATCCAAAAACAATCCGATATTTGGATCAAGTTTTTCATTGCGATTTTCGATTTCTTTAGTTTTTGGAACAAAATTGGAATTTGCTTTTCACTTCTGAAAAAAAATAGGATTTTTACAAAATTGTCATTTTTGATTTGGATCAAGTTTTCTTATTCCAACTTCCGATTTTTTATTTTTCTGATTGTTTTTTAGAACGACATTGGAATTTGTTTTTTTCCGAAAGTGTCAAAATTTCGATCTGATCCGTCTGATTTTCACTCTAATGATAACCGAACGAGTTCAACTAAACGTGTAACTGGTGGGCATTAATTAGGATCCAAATACAAGCAATTGGTGGGTGCAATACGGGGAACGGATGAACATCGGATACTGGCCGTCCGATCTATTTGGATGGCTGAGATCGCACGCCGAGACGGTTCAATGGGGTGGTGAAGTATACAGCACAAGAGTAGGAACTCATCCTCATACAGCTACCGATATGGGCAGCGGGCAGTTTCCCGACTGGGTTTCGGGCATGTCGGGCAGCGTGAAGAGGATCAGAGTGCTGGAAAACAACATGATTTTAAGGTTTCCACAATGGGTATTTAGCTTCACAGATGAATATGATTGTTATAGTACTTACTATATTAGTGATTATGTGCCTGACCCTCAGTTCTTCTATGGTGGGCCCGGGCAGAATCCAAGGTGCCCTTAGATTTTGTATGATGCTGTTTTAATTATTTATTTTATCATTAACAATTTATAAATTTTGAATTGCAAGAATATATTTTGAATTTGTTATAAATTTGTGGATAAATTACGAAAAACCCCTTGAACTTAGGCTAAATTATAAAAAAACGCACCCATGTATCCGTAATTACCAAACCCCCCGACATTTGTATCCGTCTTACACCGGCCTCCTTACGGTGCGATTTTTCATGGAATTTTTTTTTATTCCAGTGAATATTTTGCGAGAAAAGGTTTATTCTTCACTTGCAGACGTGACATTTCTTTATGCTACAGTTTGAAGACAAAATTACCCTAATACTAAAAAGCTGTGAATGTGTTACTTAAGAAGAATAAATATTCCGTATAGAGGACCCCCTAAGGTTAATCTTCGTCTTTAAAAAGAAGCATAAAGAAATGTCACATCTGCAGGGTAGAATCAGTATTTTTCAGAAATAACCTCTCGACTCAAAAAGATTTCATGAAAAATCACATCATAGGGGGGTTGGTGTCAGATAAAAACAAACGTTGGTGGATTTTGATAATTACGGATAAGTAAGGGTATTTTTGTAATTTAGCCTAAGTTCATCGGGATTTTCGTAATTTACCCTAAATTTGTATCATTGTATGAGTTTAGAATCAATATTGTACTATATAATACACGATTCATAATAATATTATCAGAAGAAAAAAAAAAATGGTATCTTATTATTATTAACTATTAAGCCATTTTCATATGGCTTTTGAGATCCTACACCGGGTGAAATACACCGGGTAGATCTTTACCATTAATATACACACAAACACACACACACCCACATTGGTGTGTGTAGATCAACGGTGAAAAATCACCCGGTGTAACCTTCACCGGGTGTAGGATAGATAAAACCTTTTCATATTTGAAAAAATAGAATCGAGTTGAGAATGGTCCCCTCATATATATTTTAATTAATAATCTGGGATTTTGACTTGTTCAATGAATCAAGATGTTTGTTTTAAAACCATGAAGATAATTAATTATATTACATTAAATTGTATTGGCAACGAGACAAAGCGAAATAAGTAGAGCTAAAAAAATGATTAGTAAACTGATAGTTGATTGTGACAAGCCACTCCTTTTTGTACTTTAATCACTTCCCCCTTCTCCTGCTAAATTCATAAAAAAATAAAAATTAATAGTTTAATTATATAAATACCATTTCCCAAAAGGCTTCTTTTTAAAGAATCTAATATTTTACTCTATTGTCCATGTCATCTTGTAGTAAAAATACTTATTAAGAAAAAAAGAGTAAATTAATGTCAAATTACGAAAACCTCCTTCATGTTTGGATAATTACATCCACATCCTTCAACTATAAATCTTCTTTCACATCGACTTTTACGGTGTCAAATTCAACAGAATCTTCTAAATATCGTGGAATGTTCTCTAGTTTGTATGCAAAAATGCAGTTTCTGATGCACAACACAATCTGATGTTAACAAGTCAAGAGACACATCTTATGATCATCTGATCTTGTTTCAAAATATGGAGCTTGAATGGGTAAAACAGATACAAACTGGAGAATATTCCACAGAATCTAAAAGATTCCACTAAATACGACACCGCAAAAGTGGACATGTAAAAAGATTGATAATTGAGTGATTATTGTAATTACTCAAACATAAGAGGATTTTTTCGTAATTTGACCTTACCTCAGGGACGTCGGTCGTAAATTTACCTTAATAAACAGCCGTTCTTACATAGGTTCTGTTCTATCCAAAATAAATATGGGTCCACGAACCTTGCGCTTTTGAGCCCTTTCCCTTTCCAAAAGCCACTTTGTTTTCCCTAAAATTCTACCAAGTATCCATCTTCATTACACTATCTGCTTCTGTTTTTTCTTTTTTTTCTTTTTTTTTTTTTTTTTTGTGTTTTTCAATTGTATGATTTAGTTTGTTTACGGCAACTACTCTACCAATCGTATATGATTATGCTCTTGATATCCTGTTGAAAAAAGAAAAAAACAAAGGTATTTCTGCTTGCTCATGCTTTTTTGCTACTGTCTGTACAAGAATCGTTTGTGTGTGTGTATTCTTTTCTTCTTTGTCTTTTGCGAGAAAGGGGAAAAGAATCAATTTCAGTGGAGAATTTTTCTCTGTGGGGGACTGTCAGCTTTCTATGTTCGAGTTGAAGTAGATATTTTTCTGGGCATACATTTATTATATTGAGTGACACAGAGATTTGGAATTTCTCTCTGATTTTGTTAGAGAGAGAGAGAGTTGGAATTTCTCTGTGATTTTGTTTCAGAGAGAGAGAGAGTTGGAATTTCTCTGTGATTTTGTTAGAGAGAGAGAGAGTTGGAATTTCTCTGTGGTTTTGTTAGAGAGAGAGAGAGAGAGAGAATTTCTCTGTGATTTTGTTAGAGAGAGAGATTGTAGAGAGTAAAGAATGAGCATGAAGAGAGGGAAAGATGAAGAGAAAATGATGAAAATGGGGCCGATGTTTCCGAGGCTACATGTAAACGATACAGATAAAGGAGGGCCAAAAGCACCTCCAAGAAACAAGATGGCTCTTTACGAACAACTCAGTATCCCTTCTCAGAGATTCACTACCCCCTCTTCAAATCCCGTGCCGAGACCACAGGTGATTTTTCGATTCTTTTTTCTTTTTCCGCATATGATTTCAATATTTCCGATAAAAAGATTATAGTGTTGGCATTTCCGTATATTATTATTCATTTAAAATCAACGAAGATAAATGATCTTCATAATACCCGATTTCGAAATTTATCCATTTGTTGCTTCGGAAATCTCTCGATAACGAGATTGGCTATTATTAACTATGTGATAGTTAAACTTAGCAAAATGTACTTGCAGGAGTTTGCAAACATGTTCTTCTCCAATAAGCTACCTACTCAACATCAATCGGAAAAACAACACAGCCAATATTCCGATTCGACCGCTCCTCCATCAGCAAAAGTCGAGCGACGAAAGAAATCGGATGAAGATGACTTTAGGGTTCCAACTTTCCTACATCCAAGACCAATTCAAGAATGCGGTGAATATGATCATAATAATAATAATAATAATAATAATAATAATAATAATAATAATAATAATAATAATAATAATAATAATAATAATAATAATAATAATAATAGTACCGAAAAAATCGGCACATCCATGCCTTCTTTTTTCAACCGCCCCTCGAAATTCCGAAAGGCCAAACCGAACGACGTGCTCGAAATCAGTACTAGCCAAGAACAAGGGAAAAGCCGTAATAAAGAAGAGAGATCGAAAGAGGTTGTACATAATAATCGAGTTACTAAAGTCGTCTCAAATTCGTTGTCCGTTGAGAAAGCTGAAGAATCGAACAAACAAACCGATTTATCTTTGCGCCATGGACCGAGAGATGCCCCTGCGTCTGTTTTTGAGGAGAACATTGCAGCGTTGGAGAAAAGGAGTAGTACTAATTCGGCGAGGGCGTTTTCGTCAAAAGATTTGAGGGGCGACGAGAGGGGTGGTGGTGGAAGTGTGTGTGAAGATTCTGTATTGGAATCAATCTCGAGAGTGGATGTAACACCCGATGATGTGGTTGGAATAATTGGTCCGAAACATTTTTGGAAAGCTAGAAGAGCTATTGTTAAGTAAGTTTTCTTTTTGCTCGAATTTATTAAATTGCATTTGTTGCCTGTTTTAGAGAATTTCACTAAAAATGAAATTTTTGAAATACGAACATTTTTAGTAGCGAAATTCGAAGACATAAAGATAAACGACTCTTTTAAGTTCGTCTCTTTTTACTCCATTTGAATAACTTGGCCTTGTGTTCGTGTCTTTGACCATGTTATTGTCTTTTTTGCAGTCAACAAAGAGTTTTTGCAGTTCAAGTATTTGAGTTGCATAGATTGATAAAGGTAAGCTCGATTTTTCATTCAATTTTCCCTTTCACGTCACGATTTATTTTAATCATCGTAGCACGATTTATCATCAGGTCCAGAAATCTATCGCTGCATCACCGCATCTTTTACACGAGGAATCGCCTTATGTCAGCAAACCGAAGAAAGATTCTCCGATAACAAAAATCGCAATAAAATATCCAATTAAATCAATTCCCAATATTCCCAAGCAAAAAGTCGTCGAACCAAAAAAGCCTACTCAAGAAAAAGAAGTCTCGGCAGAAAATATTGCAAGGAGAGAATCGTCTTTTGCTTCCGTTCAAAATTGCGCTCCATCTTCCATTAGTAGCAATGGCAATGCTAGGAGCCCCTGGGCTTTCAACCAATCACCACACGGTCATCAATGGTTGATTCCGGTGATGTCACCTTCCGAAGGATTAGTATACAAACCCTACCCAGGCCCGGGATTTGTGGGGCCCGCACCTTCCTCGGGCGGGTGTGGGCCCGTAGGGTCAAATCCGTCAACGGGTGATTTTTTATCTCCCCATCATCAATATCCATTGCCAGCTCATCACCCCTATTTCCCACCTTACGGCATGCCGATTATGAATCCACCTCCCTTTTCGGGCCCGGATGCTGACGATGTCAGCATCCAGTGTCCGAATTTGAACGACTCGCACGTGCCTGAGGATGTTGAGGTGGCGGTGCAAGTTAGCGACGTGAGCAGCAGTCCGGTGCAGGATAGCGGCGTGGAAGTGAGGAGCGTGCTTCAGCTTTTCCCCACGTCGCCAGCTGTCGACGATGCCGCTTGGTCGAGCCAACGGCCGCCCAAGAGTGGGCAGCAGCAGGTGATCAAGGTTGTGCCTCATAATGCAAGATCCGCTACTGAATCTGCTGCTCGAATTTTTCAGTCCATACAAGAAGAGAGGAAACGGTACGATAAGTTCTAACTCTTGAATTTTCCCAGCCTCTCGAGAAAAAAAACGATTGGGTTCTTTTTTCCTTCTGTGGTGTTTGCAAGTTGTGTGTGTATATATATACATCATTAGATCAATCATGTGAGGCAATGACTACTCGACCGGCATTGTATTAGTAGAGTCTAATTTCGTTTTTTTTTCTCGTTTTGGTAAGTTTTGGCATCAAGGGACTATTGATTTTTAGTTCCATCCATTTTTTCTCCGACGAAAATAAAACGATGTTTACTTACTGAAATGATGTATCTACTTTATATGGCTACACTCAAGTAATCAATTTGTGTAAGCAGTAAAGTTGATCAATGAAGCTAGTTGATGGATATTGATGGGGGCAAAAGAGGGAGTGTTAAATACAATGAATATTTATCTTCAATATAAATAGCTAAAAATGATATAAATACAAACAAATATGCAAAAAAATCATCTTATAAGTCTTCAATACTTTACCTTATAGCACTAAGAGCAAAATACGGGCAATCGAAACACATGTACAAAAACACCTACCCTCATATACAAAGGTTTCACATGGTTCTAACCCATGCTGAAATTCCCAAGAGAATTTTTTTTGAAATAAATATATTAGCAGTTGAAGAGAAAAAATAGCAACTCATTTTTTAGAATCTCCATACCAAGATTGCTGGCCGCTTAGACTTGAGAAGAAGTCATCGTCGATTATTGGGGGAGTCGGTGTAGAACCTGATTTACCTACGCCCATAGCTTTGCCCATCTGAAGTGGGGGCGGAGGCCCCTTTTCTTTTTCTTCAGATCCATCGGTCAACCCACCGACAATGCCAACATCTGCTAAGTTGACCTTCTTGGCTGCAACGATAAAACGAATTAATTTTTATTTTTTTTATTTTTCTGGACTAAGATGGAACGAAAGCGTATAATTAAGAAATACTTACGAGCAGATATATTTAGATCGATCAATCCACGGCTAAAAGAATCGGCCCATATACCAGATACTGATTGAAATGGATCTTTCTTCTGAGGAGATTTGGTTTCAACAGAAGATTCTTTTATTTTGCCATGACTTGTGTCGTTATGGGAATTTTTGTCAGATACTGCTGACAAAGGATCTGCATGAGAAGTTAACTCATTGGATCCATCAAAACTGTTCATTGGAAATGCAGCAAAAGGATCGACTGTATTATTGCTAACTGTATCGGATTTAGCAGCCTTCTTGTCAAAAACTGGATCAGGTTCAGCAAAAAAATCGACTGTTGTGGAAACAGCAGGAGCTGTCTGGGAGGCAAATAGATCAATATTGGTCTGCAGAAAAGAACTTCAGTTGAATCGCGTACTATAAAAAACAAACGCATGCTCGTGCACTAAAAAAAACACATGAGACTCTTACATGCACGCACTCACCTGAGGTGCGGAACTCTTCGCTGCTTCTAGGTCGGGTTTTGCCGACACAAAATTTGCATCAGCAAATAAATCAACTTCTGATGGATTATTGCCCAAAGGAGTCAACTTATCAGTTGGAATAGATGCTGGTGGTGCATCCAAAAGATCGACGAAATTTTCCCCGAAAAGATCCACTTGGACTTGGTTACTTACAGCAGAAGGTTCTGTTTATCAGCAAAGACGAATTACCAAGTTTGTTGAAATCAGGTAAACTACAGCAGTAGGTATATCAGTTCACACATACAGTAGTCGCCAAAATGAAACTTCGAACAACACTTGAGGGGCAAAAATGTCCAAAAAAGTACAGACCATTTCAGGTACCCAGCTTAAGCAGAAATACCAGCTTTGTTGAATGCTATTCATGCTAGAGAACCTTTCCCTTGTGTAGATTATTATCAGAAAGTCCAATACTGGATGGTTGTTCGAGTGTGTTCAAACCATAACGAACTATTGACCAATAAAAAAGCTATATCCCCTAGAATTTACAAAGTAATTCTCTAAGGCCTCGTTTGGGAATGTTGATGGGATTGATACGATTGATTGAAATGGCTAGGATTACATTGTCCATGATAATATATTATGTGATTATCTATTTCTTGGGGATTTATCATTAAACGATCCTTGTATTTGGTAATATCCTTCATAGGATTGTGTAATAATAGGGGTTGAATTTGGACTAAATATCCTTCATGAGATTGGATTTTAATAAAATCCAAGCCCATTTTTAATCATGGGAGTGAAACCTAAACCCAAACATTTGCCAGCTTGATTATATTGTCTATCGAGCCTAAGCCTAATACTATTTTTTATTATGCATCGAAGGGAAAAGCATCCTTTTCTCTCTTCGATCTTGATGGTTAGAGCTAACTCCAAATGCTTGGAATCTTTCTTTGATTAACTTTAAATTTTCAAGTGCATAGACCTTAGCGAACCAAATAGTTCAGACTCTGCAGCATAACAATATAGACCACTTTAGAGAATTATTACTTACTAGAACTTGAAGTTCCCCGTGGATCGAAATCATCAAAATCGTCATCATATTTGTTTGACTGGGCAGTTTGTGAGGGACCTGAAGCATATTTGTCCGACTTGCTAGTTTTTGTAGATTTATTTGATGCAACGTTTGCAGTTGAGTCTTGTTCTTTCCTGCGGTAGAGAAGAAAAGAAAGTCTTGAAATGATCAAAACGATAGCATGCTAATAAAAATGCTTCAATCATTTGTAAAAGCAGCAAGCACAATCATAACATGCTTAAGATTATTAAAAAAAAAACGAGAGAGAATCCTATGCCTGCAGACTAATGATGTGACAACACGGACCTGCCAGAGCGAGAAGGCTTTTTCTTTCTGGTAGTCTTCTCGTATTTACCTTCACCATAGTAATCCTTGTCTCTGTAACTATCATTAGAAGTTTTAGATGTTTCACTGTCTCCTCTATTACCAAAACCTCCGTACCGATCATTACTCTTAAAGTTACTGCTACTGAATGAGGGTGCACCCGACTTGTATGTCATTCCAGATGATGAAAGTCCAATGTACCTAAAAAGTAATAGCAAGGCTGATAATCGTCAACAGAACAAGATACTCAAAAATTAAATAAACATGATATTACGCTTTAAAGTACGGGCTTACTTTTCACGATTGGTAGCAGCTTTATTCCGTACTTCTTGCATTTTGTCTTTGTCATTTAGAAGAGCCACTATGGTTTCAGCCTTTTTCCTCACATTAATTCCCAAATCCTTCCCATTCGGCTCCACATACTCAAAAGTTGACAGGGACTAGATAAATAGAAAATGAAATGAAAACTAAATTAGTAAGAGAATAAAAGACAAATTTACGCCTTCATCAATTAATATTCTGAATAAAGTTTTGGCATATTCGCCTTAAAAATTCATAAATAAATCAATGCCGGTTGTAAAAGGAAGTAAGATACATACAGATATCTGATAAGTATGTTCTATAATGTCATCAACAGCACGTTCGGATCCATGGGCCACCAGATACTCTATAACAGCCAATGCCTATCGCCGAAAATATTAGTTCCCAAATGTTCAGAAGGTGGCCATACAGAAAATAAACGAATATATTATTAAAAGTAAAATATCAAGAAAATTAATAGATGTCAGTATCCAGTAATTTCCGGCGTACCTTATATACGAAACGCCAATTCTTTCCCAACTCTGTCAATCTTGTCCAAATAACATTCATAATAATCTGACAATCAGTGCTGCACAATATCTCAATTATCAGACCAACTTAAATCAGATTTATCATTTATGTCAAAGAAGCAGGTAATGAAAATTTAGACAAACTACTGAAATGAAAATTATAGTATTTACAATTTCTTTGTGGCCTGTGCTATCTCCGCCAATGCTGTGCCATGAGGACCCCAAGGTTCGTCGTCCGTCGCATCCAAAGCCTAACTCAAACATATAAGTTAAAATTACATCTAAAGCAAATACTAATCATTTTCTAGGAAGAAAACAGTCGGTCAAACAATACATCAATTTGCCAGTCGAACGTAAATTTCTGCAGAAAATCTATATTGGAAAATGAAATTGTAAGGCCCGATGCAATGGCCTAAGGGCTAAAGTGTCCTAATTCTTAACTCTTAAGCATTCGTAGCTCACATTTTACGTTTAACGTCGTCGATATTTGATGAAATAAAATTTATGTAGTACGTAACGAATATCAACAAACAGTCGCTCGTCGTACATATATATTTTTCGATAACCCTTTTATCAAATTTTCAGTATCTCCTATAATACAATTATTTCGATACACGTTCTGATAGATACCCTAACATGATAACCGATATCGAACACATCCTTCACATAATTCCAGCATACAGAACAGCTTTGGACCATACACTAATATCAATATAAAAAATCTGCAGAATCCATTTTAACATGTTTCATTAAAATCAATATCCTGATAAATCAGACAGCAGTAAACAATCAACGCACGAAATCAAAAACTAATTAATCGACGGCTTTGAGCTAAAAATAGTCCTGCGAATTTAGTTTTACCTTTTGTTCGATCTCCGGAACCTTCAACACCTTCAAATTCACCTCCCTCTTTCTGTAATTACGTAGGGAAAAATAAAATTTATCGTGAATTCATTCGGAATAAAAAAATTAAATAAGTAATTGTATAAGAAAAAACGATATATAGAGTTATACGTACATTTCGCGGACTGTTTGATCGAAGACCTTCATAAAATCCATGGCTGCGTCTGCTGAAAGTGGGAAAGGAAAATAACAGATCAAATTGAGAAAATTGTGATGGATCAAAACATCAATTCAATGGAGATTGAATTGAAATATCGAGCTTTTTATTTGTGATTGGGGGAACGAACACCTTTGAGCAAATAGGAAGAAAGCGAGCACGAGAAATAAAATGGGATGATTTAATAGTAATATAATTAATACATTGCTCTCCGTAATTAGTCTTTTATAAAATAAAATAAAAATAAAAAAAATAAAAAGGTATTATAAATAGGGGTAATCACAAAAAAGCCCATGACAAGGGCACTTAATTAAAATATGGACATCCAACTTTTTTGTCTTCCAAATAAATCCACCCCATTCAAACTTATTTGCAAATAAGGAAAATCCTTTTATATATACCAAAATTACCCATAATTCATTGAAACCCAATTCAACTCCAATTTCATGATTTACACCCCAATTTAGCCCAATTTCATCAATTAACCAATTTTAACCCTAATTTCAATTTGGACCCCAATTTTAACCCTAATTCTTATCAATTCCACCAATTATGCTCTAACTTCCTTAATATTACACATTGACCCCGGATTTTAACAAATATATCACATTAACCCCCAAAACCTTTTTTTTTCTGAAAATAATTTTTTTTCTGAAATATTTTTTTTCCGGCCAGATTCCGGCGTTGACTTTTTTTTTTATTTATTGAATTTTGTTTTCCTGAAAATTTTTTCAGGCCGGTCAACGGCCGTTGACCGCTGGGTCTCCGGCGTTGACTTTTTTTTTTTTTTTTTTTTCTTAAAAAAAATATTTTAATTAATTTTACTGTCTTGGCTGCTAAATTACTGTCTCCGGCAGCTATTTAACTGTCGGAGACAGTAATTTAACTATTAATTGACTGTTTTTTTTTTTTTTTCTTCAAAAATATTTTAATTAATATTACTGTATTCGTTGCTAAATTACTGTCTCCAGCAGTTATTTAACTGTCGGAGACAGTAATTTAACTGTAAATTGACTTTTTTATTCTTAAAAAAATATTTTTAATTAATATTACTGTATTCGTTGCTAAATTACTGTCTCCAGCAGTTATTTAACTGTCGGAGACAGTAATTTAACTGTTAATTGACTTTTTTATTCTTAAAAAAAATATTTTTAATTAATATTACTGTATTCGTTGCTAAATTACTGTCTCCAGCAGTTATTTAACTGTTAATTGACTTTTTTTTTTTAATTTTTTTCCTTAAAAAAAATTATTTTAATTAATATTACTGTCTTGGATGTTAAATTACTGTCTCCAACAGTAATTTAACTGTCGTAGACAATAATATTAATAATATTACTGTTCGGAAAAATAATATTCATAATATTACTGTCCCAAACAGTAATATTACTGTCCCAAACAGTAATATTACTGTCTGAGACAGTAATTTAGTAGTCAAGACAGTAATATTAATTAAAATATTTTTTTTCTAAAAAAAAACAATTCAAAAAAAAAAAAAAAAAAAGTCAACGCCGGAGACCGGCGGTCTCCGGCGGTCAACGCCGGAATCTTGCCGGAAAAAAAACATTTCAGAAAAAAAATTATTTTCTGAAAAAAAAAAGTTTTGGGGGTTAATGTGATATATTTGTTTAAATCCGGGGTCAATGTGTAATATTAAGGAAGTTAGATCATATTGGGTGGAATTGATAAGAATTATATTATTGAGGGTATTTTAGACTATTTGTGAACCAAAATGCATTTAAGTCCCATGTGATGGGCCTTTTTGCCATTTGCCCTTATAAATATCTAACGAAACTCCTTGGAAATTATAATAAATAATTGAAATGATTCAAATCAATGAAAATATTATTTTGTTAAAATTAATTGATTCTTTCAAGTCGTTTTAATTAAGTTTGAAAACAATTCTAATAGATGAGGTTGTAATTGTATAGTTCAAGTTTTCATTCATCGGCAAAAAGCTCTGGTCAATTAGTAATATTTTTATGAAAGAAAGTATCAATAAATATGTCAAGTATTAAATTCAATAGATATTTAAGTTTTTTGTTCAGTCCGTGTTTAATAAAATGGTTCGGACTAGGGCTAGTTAAGCTCGACTCTAATATAATCGAATCATACTATCATGTATCGGTATACCGACTAATATTAATTTTTAGTATACGGTTGGTGCCAATTATTCTTCATATTTATAAAATTAATTATATGTCCTCCTAGACCCAAAAAAAAATATTAATCGAGATAATTATTCGTGGGTCGTGTGAGGCGTAAGTAGGGGACGGAATCAGACAAATCGAACAAGTTCCAAATTCGTTCCACAATTTTTTGGGGAAATCGAAAACTATTAATAGATAAAAAGTTCTATAAAAGAAAACAAAAATCGAGTGGTACGGGTATAATTAGTGATACGGGCTCAATTGTCCTAAAGCCCAAATAGTAAGAATCTAACATAAAACCCAAATGCAACAGGTTCAATCTCATATTGTTCATAACACTTCATAGAGCATGTCACTAGCTTCACGTGAGATAGATTCAGACGACGTATGTGACTATATTCGGCCTAATGTAAAAAATAAAGGTGGAAAGCCTGCAACATGACATGGACCGAGGAGAGGCCCACTTGCAGTAGAACCAAGAGCGACCACACCATCGGGCTCCCTCTAAATCGCAAAGAGCGAGGTAGCTCGCCCTCAGCTGACAAACACCGCTCGTAGTAGTTACACCACTCCCACATGTCATCTGACCAAAGTCAGAACATCGGACCAAACACTCCATCCCTACGATAGTATAAATACAGTCTTGAAGCATGAAGCAGAAGGAACGATGACTCTCCTGGATATTTCTAATACACATTGTTATTAGATTTCTTGGATATTTCTAATACACATTGTTATTATATTTCTCCAAATACAGTTATATTGTTTCTCCACGATTTCTACTAATTTTACGGACATAATGGTAACGCAGTAGACCGTACTCCGGCACTCCTTTTTTTTTTTCCGATCTCTTTGCACGCGTAAATTTCTTCTTATTTGGACTTTTCTCACTTCATGCTCATTCCACCTTTTCAATTCGTGATTGAGTCATTTAAGCTACACCAATTTTGAAACTCTATTTCCCTATCCGCTGGAAAACTAGAATCTCATTTATAATTTCAATTCCAATCATATTTCTTGAAATATCGGAGATTGATATAATATAAATTAAGAAGAAGAAAAATGATTTTTTCAAATGTTCACAACTACGCGGATGTGAATAAATAAATCCATACAACACTATGCTCGTGTACAACCAAATGTCAACTGATTTCCCCCCCAATTTGTATTCAATTTAATTTTAATATAATAAACCAGCCTTAAAGTTTACAAGACAAATTAAACTCAGAATCGGGTTTATGCACCTTGCGTTACATGAATCAAACATAATTGAAATTGATCCGAGTAAAAGGTTGACTTTAAGTAAATAAATAATATCAGAAATTCGAATGAAAATATATGGAATATACACACACAAGACAAATTATGTTCCAATTTTGTTTTATTTTCTAAATTAAATAAACAAAGACTCGCTTGAAACAAAAACAAAGGCTGTGTTTGGTAAGCTTTTGGGCTTCCATTTCCATTTTATTTTGGGGAAAGATGTTTTGGGAGAAGAATTTGAAAATTAAATAAAGTTTGTTTGTGTTTTGGGAGGAGACAATTTGTACTGTAGCAAGTCAAATCATGTCTGAAAGGTGTTGGAAAAAGGTATTTTGGAAGAAAAATTTAAAAGATAAAGTGATTTGATTTTGTATTTTAGTGAAGACAATTTTCACTGTAGCGGTCTAATCATGTTTGTTAGAGAGAGAAATATTTGAATTTGTTTTGGGGAAAGTTTTTGAAAATAGTGTAGAAATATAATTTTCATTTTGGAGAAAGTGTGGAAAGAATTTGAAAACGGTAACAAACATAGCCAAAAAGTCCAGTACCAAAACAAAATAATAATTAGGGTAAATTACAAGCACCCCTGAGGTATGGTTAATTTATAAAAAATCCCTCTTGTTTGGATAATTACATCTACCCCTTAACTATGATTTTTTCTTACAACTCCACCCTTATGGTATCAAATTCAACATAATCATCTAGATTTCGTGAAATGTGCTCTAGTTGTACTCGTTTGTGTAAAAATACATTTCTGATGCACCACAATCTGATATATACAAGCCAAAAAACACATATTATGATCATCTTACAAAAATGTAGAGGTGGAATAGGATAAAACGGGTACAAAAGTAATAATATTCCATATAATCTCGAAGATCCACTAAATTTGAGGAGTTGAGTGGTGGTTGTAATTATCCAAACAAGAGGGGGTTTTCGTAATTTGACCTTACCTCAGGGGTGGTTGTAATTTACCCTAATAATTATAAAAAAGAAATATAATAAATAAATTAAAATAAAAACTCAGTCCAAATCCCAATCCAATTGGTCGGTCACATTCCCGACATGCACAGCGTGTCACTATATAATTCCCCAAACCCACCCCAAAACGATCTAATATACGAGTAGGAGACTTCTGAACAGCGACGTCAACTACTTATACAAGTTCTTTCACGTTGTTCATCAACATTCCCAAATACTTCGAAATCACGAAATTAAACATTCGCCGCAAAATTCACGAACGATTCTCCATCGGTTGAACTCCTACTCAGATTCACAAAGTACGCGTTTAATGTATTTACAATACTGATTTATTTGATAATTTCATATGATTATTCCGTATGAATTTTGTGTTGTTTGATTGTTGATATTCCCCGATCGAAGTGACGTCGTATTCGCAATTTTTCTGCAGGGTTTAAGGAATTCAATTTTCTGTTCTTCGATTTTAGCTGAAAAAAAAGGAAGTAGTTTTGATAAATAAATCATCGACAAAATGTTTTCAAAAATGTTCGGAAAGCCTGCTCAACAGGCGGATCCTCTGGCATCGTTAGAGAAATTAAATGAGGTATGTGATTCTGCTCTATGATTTTATCTCAGCATTTAATTTTTTTTTTTTATGTATAATCTTGTTCGTCTTTTTTGGGTATATGCTGGTATTACTCTGTCTTGCAATGAGTTGACTCGTTTATTTGTTGATGAATAAATTAATTATTTAGTTGTAGAAAAGTGTAGGTTTTCAGCTGACTGTGTAGCTGTGATTTATATGTATAGATTGTATATAGTTACAATTTCGAATACATAGCAAAGACATACATGATGCATATTGTTTGTTAGCGTCGGGCTTGGCTGTAACGGAATCGTGTTTTTTTTTGCTGTTGTGAAGATTTGTTATCTTACACGAGCCCTAGGTTAAAATTAATAATGTGCATTCTTTTTGTTTATCGATTTTTCAACTCTAGCTCTCGATCGTGAATGTATTACTTAATAGTTTGTTGTATTTGCACATCGATAGTCAAACAGCGGATGCCGTGCAAACTTCCCATATGATGATATTGATACCTTCTCTCAGCTTATGTCTATCTATTTATTTATTGATTTTTTTTTGGTTGTTATTTTTAATTTTCTGAATATACGACGGGATTGGTTTGCAGACTCTTGAAATGCTAGAGAAGAAAGAGAACGTCTTCTTGAAAAAGGCTGCTGCAGAAGTTGAAAAGGCAAAGGCGTTCACTAGAGCGAAAAATAAGAGAGGTATGGTGTACTGATTGTAGGTTTGTTATAAGTCCTTGTATAAGTAACTTAACTTTGCTATATACTTATACAGCACAATCGTACGAGAAATTTTTGCTTTATAACTCTATAGTTTGTCGACCTTCTAAAGCCTCTCGTGTCAGTTCTGAATGTAATAATTGTCTTTTTCTGTAACTACATTTATAGCATCGTTCGTCACCTATTCTCGTTTTATTTTAATCCAGCGTATGGCAGGGTGTGGTATTCATACACTAATTATGTTGCTTTGTGCTCTATATTTTAATGGCAATAGAATATTTTTCAAATTTTGTAAAGTGGGAATTTCTGGTATTTTTATCTTTTTTTTTTTTTTTTTTGTAGCTGCAATACAATGTTTGAAAAGGAAAAAACTTTACGAGCAACAAATTGAACAGCTTGGTAATTCCCAGTTGCGCATTCATGATCAGGTGCTCTTGACAGGTTTTTCATCGGTGCTTTTTTTTTTTCCTTTTTTCCTGTTGCATATTTTAATCTTATTAAATTACGATGTGCCTTGGTTGCAGATGATAATGATTGAAGGGGCAAAAGCGACAACAGAAACTGTTGATGCTTTGAGAACTGGAGCAGCTGCTATGAAAGCTATGCAGAAGGCCACGTAAGTTGTATTCATCAATCGTTTAATTTTCTTTTTTTTTTTTGTTTAATCTGATATCCTCTAATGAATTTTGCTCATGTAGTAATATCGATGACGTGGACAAAACGATGGATGAGATTAATGAGCAGACCGAAAATATGAAACTAATTCAAGAAGCACTGTCTTCTCCTCTTGGTTCTGTAGCTGATTTTGACGATGTATGCGTAGTTTTATGGGTGTGTACGTGTTCGTATTTCCTTTCTTCAGAAGAAGGTTTAATATCTTGATTCGATTCTGCAGGATGAATTGGAGGCAGAACTTGATGAACTTGAGGGAGCTGAACTGGAGGAACAACTTCTGCGACCTACACCACATTCTCCTGTTCGAGTGCCTGGCGGAAGGCAACCATTAACACAGATTGATGAGGAGGAGGAAGAACTTGCTCAACTGCAGAGGGAAATGGCAATGGCACTTTGAGGAGGTAATTTTTTACCCCATATTATTAAAACCTTTTTTTTTTGGGGGGAATCGTATATTAGGCTTGATAGATAATAATATAATCGGATGTTAATCAAGAAAAATGGAGGATGCTTAGTCAAAACTCAACCCCCATATGAAATATATTACCCAATACGAGAGCTGAATAATCACACACCCCAAACATAAGATAATCTGATATTACATTATGGTGGACAGTTTAATCAATCATATCAATCCCGTCGACATTCCTAAACGAGGCCTTGGTTGATCAATGCACTTGTTCGTTTTTGTTGCTTTCCTTTGATGAAACAATCGGAGTTCATTGTTTCTTCTGCTATAAATATAGTGATTTTTTAGTGGTAAAAATCACTGAATTCGACGGAACTTAAATATCGCGCGTAAAAGATAATGATGATTGGATTATTTGTGTCTATTTATGCAATGCCCGATGAAAGATAAATTCAGTTTTTCGTCTCTGAAAGACGAAGTATGTCACTCAAAGTGGTATTTTTTTTTTTACCCTATGCACAAGATTAACTACAGTTATTTTGATGCTCTTCTTGCAGTTACCAAATCTCAAGGCCAAAGGACCTGTAAAAACAAAGTACTGTTATATATTATGGAGATCATGGTTTTGAGCCTGCTACTACTGGTTCTGTATATAGATGACATGGAATGGTTTGTTTTTATTCTTCAATTTTCATGCATAAATTGTGTGCTTCCGTGTTTTTTTTTTTTTTTTTAATTTACCCTAAATATATTTTGCATTCTTTTGGGACCGATAGTCCCGATTAAGCAAATCTTATTTTCGAGCACTGCAAATCTGCAGTTGTGGATTGATGATATCAACTAGGCCATGTTTGATATGTTTGATTGGCTTTTTGTTTAATCTATTAATTAGTGCTAATTTTTCTTTTCATAGTATGGTTCAAGGCTTGTGATTAATTGTTGGGTCGCAATTTAATCGAACAATTTTACTTGATTAAAGATGTTCCAACGGTTTGTTTTATGTTGCACCACGTAAACTTTACATATTCAGGAGTGTGATTGTAGGTAGATTTACGATGAAATATTGATCGGTCTACTAAATATTTATGTATGAGCTCCCCTAAATAAAAAATGTTATGCTAGTACTTATGATAATAAATAAATAATTTGAAGAAATTGATTTTTCTAATCACCATTTGCATATAATTATATATTTAATGAAAAATTATAGAACCAAAACCACTTAAAAATGAAAAAATCAATAGGCAAAATTAAGTCATTATAATAATTACCACATCCGAAGAATCTAAGTTGGACTTGGTAAAAAAACAATTATAAAATATAAACTTAAAATTCATATTTAATATCATTTACAAAATTACACAGCTGCCAAGTTACTTAGTTCTGTAAAATAGTAGTAATAATAAACGCCAACAAAATAGAGATTAATCCACACTTGCCCTACCCGCTCATTCTAGTAACCCGACCCGAATACCCGTATTTACAAAACAGCTTCAATTTAGTCAAGCACAGTCGGAGAAAAAAATGTCCGGGTTATATCAAAAGGGTGCCCCACCCGTTCCAAAAGCGGTAACTCGACCCGTTTTAGTTCACGAGTTCATTAACCCAGTCAAAATCGGGGCACAGACCATCATCTGAGTTAACTCGGTTCAGAGAGTTTTCCTTACCGAGTTTCGCGTAGATTCTTTCACGCAGTTCTCTTCCCGACTCAACTCTCTCCATGAATGGCTCCTCTTCGAACGAAGTTCCCCATGCATCGACAGTGCTAAACCCTGGGCTGACTCGGGCTCGAATCGGAGTGTTGGGGAGGTTCGTGAAACCGGGTCGGGTCGTGGGAGGGCTCCGTGGAGATCCGATACGGATCCCCCAAGTGGGTGGGCTAACGCTCAGGCCCAGACCCATGTTCATCTTGTTGAGCTGCATATAGCGCATCGACTCAGCGAGTTGGTTAACCGAGTTCGGAGATACCGGCGGCGAACCGGTCGTCGGGGACAAAGGTGAGAACAATGTCGATTTCGGCGAGGAACCGAACATAGGCATGGCAGAAAGCGAGTCATGTCCGATTCGACTCGGAGACGCCTCGGGGCTGGTGGCCGAGTGGGTCAGAACTCGGAGCTGGTCCGGCGTGTGGGCGAAGAAGCACACGCGCCGGTGGCAGTGGGTCCCGTCCTTGCACGGCAGCGTGCGGTAGCGAGCCGGGTGTAGCCACGACTCGAACACGCCGTGAGCGTACTCGCAGGCGTCCCCCCTCCTGCACTCGCCCCTGCGGAAGTCGGGGCACGCGCTGCCGGAGTAGTGGTACCTGCGCGGATCCCGACGCCGCGCCTTCTCCCCAGGGTGAGCGAACGGGCACTCCGTCCAGTCGTGCGATCTGGCGAGCGCGCACTTCTTCACCTTGAACTCGAACATCCTGAAGTTATCGCACGAGAACGCGTCCACCGGAACGTCGAAATCGTCGGCGAAATCTCCATCGTCGTTGTTCGACGGCAGATAACGCAGCAGCGCCGCCATAGTATTCACGTCGAATGTAGCATCGGCGCACGACGGCGGAGCGTAGATCTCGGCCGTCGGATCTTCGACGAAATGGTAATCCCAAGGTTGGATTCCGACCGTTGGATTTGACCGGGAATGATCTCTGATCTTCATCATCGTCATCATTTTTCTCCACAGTTTATAATTCCTTTTTCTTTTTTTTAACCTCACTCACTTTTATCTGTATACAGTCACAGAGGTTCTAATTTATACTACTTTGTTAACTATGGTTAGTTGATCTGACTTAACCATGGTCACGTTAAAATATCTAGTTGCTCCTCCCCCCCCCCCACTATATCCTAATCCAGTAGCTTTACAAGCTGTGGGCTTAAAGCATATAAATCCAATTTCCTAAACTTATTTATTCTTTATTTATTAAAACATAAAATATTAATGACTTTTTCCCCCCTAAACTTACCTTCACATTTCCTTCAATTTCTCACGGACAATTTTTTATAAGATCTAATTACGAAAATATATCTTTTGTTTGGGTAATTATAACTATTTACTAATTATAAATTTTCTTACACGTCTGGTGTATATTAAATTCAACAAAATTTTCTAGATTATGTGGAATGTTCTCTAGTTTGTACTTGTTTTGTGCAAAAAACTATTTCTGATACACTACAATCTGATATTTACAAGTCAAAAGACACATCTTATGATCATCTTGTTCCTAAATATAGAGCTCGATTGGAGTAGAACATGTAAAAACTGAGAAATATTTCATATCCATACTTTTTTTTAAGTAGGGGGAATGAATTGTGGGTCCCAATGCAATTAAGGACAAAATTAATTGGAAAATGAATAAAACAGAGGACTTGTTTGTTTGGTTGCACAAGTGAAGTAAAGATTTCCTTGGTCTTTGTAATATTGGAATTTAAGCTTTGTTCTGATTCAAGTATCTGTATCTCAGATATTAATCCAATAAGGAAACCAATTTCTGGGTTATTTTATACTACAATTACAGTAGATTATTTAGGTAATTTTACTTTTTGGATAAGACGGTAAATATATTTATTTATACTATACAATTTAAGATATTTCCAATTTAATAGAAAAAAATATACTTTAATTGGGATGAAATTGTACGTGCTCATAATAAATACCCAGTAATTAATAATTCTTGCTAAAAGACATCCGATAATTAATTATTGCCAACTCCAACTACCAATAAAAAATAAAATAAATGCTCTTTACTACACTCAGTTTTGCTTCCTTAACTATGTTGTTTGATGTCCCCCATTTCGTTCAAAGAATTTGTACAGCTTTCAGAATTATTCTGGTCTATAAAATAAATAATTGAATTGAATAATTTGGAGTTAAGAAATATAAATTTATAATAATGATTTTAAACTTTAGGAAGATGAATAAAAATCGTGTCCAAGAAAATTAAAAGGCCTAACATGCACAAGTTACATAATAGACCATTAGAGAGCATTCGGCATTCCTACTATGAAATTTATTAGTTGCGTAGAATAACCGGTTTCACGAGAAATTAAAAGGTGACCCGTATCAGACGGCCTAACAGTTGGAGGAACTGAATAATTACTGTCAATTGATTGAAGTTTGAATTTTCTTGCCAACGGTCGCTTTGTCGAGTTTTTCACACATGGTTAGTATAATGTGATTTAACGATAATTAGTTTATTTGATTGGCATTAGGACATGATTTTGTGATAGTAATCACGATTTTCAATATTAATATTAAAGTATTTAAGATTTCATTTAGTGATAAAAAAAAGGGGGGCAATTTGCTAAACATCCCTAAGCACTAATACATTTTCAAATGAGGATATATTTTTGTATTTTACTAAAAGTTCATCGAACAACTTAATTAGAGACCTTAGATAGAAAGTAGTTGTTTTAGACTGAAAATATGTTACTATCTTCTAACTTATCCGTCATAAAAAACCACGACGACTCCAAAAAAAAAGGGCATTTATTTTACTATTTCGGCTCTCCCTACTACTCCCATGCCGCCAAGCGCCTAATATCTGCCACAAATTGGTGAAAAAATGTTATTTTCATCTAAAATGTCTATTATGTCCAATTTCTCCGACCAAACTGTCTATTTTCAATCTAAACTCTCTAACTAAGCTCCAACTAAATTGTCGATTTTCAGTTCAGCTATCTATTTTTAGTCTTAACTGTACAACTAAGTTGCCTCGTCAGATTTTTAACAAATTCAAAATATTCAAACTGTTAATTATACAAAATGTTTTTGAACGAGACACTTTTGTTGGCACCACGTAACACTTTTAGAATTGTGGTGAAGTTTGACCTAAGAAAATGGTAAAATTATAATCTTTTTAGGTAAATTTTATTTTTACATAAACGACAGAGTTGGTGGTTGGGAGGTGGGGGTGAAGGAAATCCGTACGCTCGCCACGTGGCAGGCATCCATCACGTGAGGGGAAAGCATGGCAGTCAAGGTAGGTACACGTGTCGGGTGGCGTGTTGTTATTTGAAAGCGACAGGTGATTACGTGGCAGTCGTCTTGTGGATATGTACGAGGCCTTGTCCTTTGAGTTTTAGATACTCGTGATTTTATTCTTTTTCTAACTAGTTTTTTTTTTATTCTTTTTAATATATTAATATTAATAATATGGCTTTGGATTTAAGCTTTCAACTTTTCCACATCCCCATGCCTTATCCATAAGGGCGTTGTGCATTGGTGGGTGGGTTGCTCTCACACAAGATTTTATTTCAAGAATCCAATAATATTATAAAGAAATATATCTAATAAATTATCCAAAAATATATATATATATATATAATAAATTAGCAAATATAAAGAAATATTTTTAGAATTAATATTTAAAATTGTTGGATAATTATCTTATAAGTTATTTGTATTCATTATAAGATCCGGGACGTAGAATATTATTTTTAAATAATTTTATTTGCTCTCCAACAGCTTATTTTTAAATTTTTAAGATATTTATTTTAAATTACCAAAACACTTTGAAAGAGCTTATAAACTCTTTAACAGCTTATAAGCTTGTCCAAATACGTAAAATATATAGACAACCTCACTAGAAAACCTGAATTATATATACCGACGTGCTCAAGATTAAGAACTACAATTTGACCTTTTGGAACCATTTATAAACAAATGTTTTTTCAAATTGTGTTTTAATATTATCTTTGATATATAGCAATGAGATACTAAAGTAATCAAAGGTAGAAAAAAATTCTATAAATAAAAAAAATTGAATATAATCATGCACTACGAGTCTACGAATATATCTATGAATAATAATGTAGATTGATCCATCACTTATAGGCATTATGACTATCATTATTAACAATTAAATATCATCATTTTAGTAATTGAAATAAGAAAATTATTTTCTCAAAATATTGTCCAAAAAGAATGAAACATGAAGTTAAATATATTCCAATTCAAAATGAATTCGATAAAATGAATTATAAATTGATTAGTCAACTATGGGCTAGATATATAACAGGGCAAATTACAGCCCAACTTAATGAGGTAAGCCCAACCTACAAAAAAAAAACCCCATTCTTTTTGCATAATTACAACCACTCCCTCAACTATGTATTATCTCACGAAACCCCGCCTCATTCATTAGTTAAATTTGACACCGTAGGGATGGACGTGTTAAGACAATACATAGTTGAGGGGGTTGTTGTAATTATCCAAACGTGACGATTTTTTTTGTAATTTGAGCATACATCAGGGGTGGCCGTAATTTGCCCTTTATAGTATCCGTTGGACCAAATAGATTGCTTTTCGAACTATGGGCCTGCGTTAGAATACTTCATCGATGACGAGGTAACAAATTTTCAAAAAAAATTTCCCCGATTTTTCAAAATAAATAACCACAGTTAATATTTTCATAATAACAAACAAAACAAAATTGCTAATGCAAGAAAATAATATAAAGAAGAAGAAAAAAGAAATCACCTAAATGGCAACTCAACTATATTCATCAGTCCTTGTTCAAGACTTTCGGAACTTTGATATACAAATCTTCGAATGTGGGCACAGCAGCTATTATAGCATCCCTACAACATCCGAGTAATTATTTTAATCAGAGATAATTACGATTTGCTCGTCGCAAATTATGCCGGAGAAAGTAAATAAATAAAATAAAATAAAATAAAATTTTGCTACCTGTTATCAAATACTTCTGGCACGTCAATTCGCAGATTGTCACCTTCAGTATCTGTAGATCCAAGAAAGAAAATCCATCAACTTATACTCAAATAGCTTACAAAAATATGTAACAATTACTTTTATAGGAAAAAAAAGAAAAAAAAAACGAATTATTAAAGAATAAATAAGAGCCTATAAAAAAATTCAAAGTCTGCTCCGATAAATAGAGTAGAGTGCAAGCAATGAAATCATGACATGTATTAATCTTCGTATGACGATTTCAATTGTAGTGCTTTTTGTCTTTATAGGAATTATTAAGGATTTCAATTATTCACACACAAATTGCATCATATGAATTCAAATAAGTAATATGCATGTAACATATTATTTGAACTTTCAACGACTAAAGTCTAACTTCGAGTGTTAAATCACCTGCTCGTATGGCTGGTTCGATACTCTCAAGGTCAACGGCCTGAAGTTGACCAAACCTGTTCCATATTTACACAGACGTTTACAGAGTGAAAAACGAACAAATTTCTTTAGTCGATTACAAAATGCCAAAAATATGTTGATGTTCGATTAATACCAATAGCTTCATCTTCTAAAACATGTATGTACACTACCACAATGCAGATTAATCCTTAATAGTACATAAATATTTTGATCCTTTCAAAGCAGATACTAATCCTTGATTAATTTTAAAAAGCTAATTAAGTTAAACTATTATATCAACAAATAAATTATCTTATTATAGTTCCATAGATGAGGAATCGTTTTTAGAGATGAACAGAATTCACCAATTGGATCAAAATAAAACACACAATACACATATATAGTGTGTGTATTGCACACATTATACATACATAAACAAGTAAATTACCAGTCTACCACTTGGCGGATTTTTGGGGCAAATTCTTCAACCTAAAAAAATCCAACAAACAAAAATTAAAATTAAAATTGAAATTGAAATTGAAATTAAAATAATTGGCGGAAGAATTTACATGTAAACGGAAACCAAAAAATGAAATTAGTACTTGTTGTGGGGTGAGAGAAATCCGAGCAGTTTGAGCCAAACGCGGAACATCCGGTGGCTGGAGACACGATTTTACAGTGCGGAATCGCTTATTTTGGAGAAGCGCTTTTGGGAAAGCACTTTTTCTGAAGGTGATAAGCGACGGAGTTGCTCGCAGAAATAGAGCTGCTCTGCTACAGCTACTCATCTTAGTTTCTGATAATGAGAGACGATAATAAGAGATAAAATCGGATTTAATTATTATTTATTATTTACTTTTTGGGCCTCGTTAATTTTAATGGACTTCAGATCTCAGGCCCAATATATATATACTTAGTAGCTCTCATTAAAATATTCCATATATAACAAATGGGAAAAATACAGTTTCTGCCCCTCAAGTTTGCACTAATTTCACATTTGGTCCTCGTGTTAAAAAAAAAAATAACAAATGGTCGACTTTTAATCATTTCCATAACTTTCCTGTTAAAACTAACGGAATCAAGCGTGTTCCCATCACTGTCTTAACTAATGGACTAATTGTAAATTGACATGAATGATGGAAAATGTTAAATTATTGAAACATGAGGGACAAAAAATGTGTTTTTTTTGTACATGAAGACCAAATATAAAATCGGTGCATACTTGAGAGATGAAAACTGTAATTTCCCCTATAACAAATTTATGATTACTTTGATGAATTACATAGATATTAATTCAATGTAATGTATATATAAAATATTAAAATTATACACTAAATTTGAAATTGGTCTACGATTTGTGTAATCTAAATATTATGAAAATAATTCGTATAATATAATTCTGGTAATATAATTCTCCATAATTAAGTTTATTTTCAATTCAAAAAATTCAGTCTATAAAATTGCAAAAGGAATAAGAATTTTTATTTATTGACTCACAAATAAATTATATTGTAATTATTTGGAGAAAAAAAGAAAAGAAAAGAAAGAAACTAATTTAATTTTGGGGAAGCGAATTTGGCAGCAAACGCCACACAGGCCACGTAGGCAATTCTTCTGTTCAAATATGACCGTTGCTACATTACGCCAATAAAGACCAAAAATTCTCTCTTCTGTGTTTGAAATCAGATCGGAAGCAAAAACTCTCTCTCTCTATATCTCTTTCTCTCTCTATCTCATTTGAGTGCGCGACTGCATATTTCGAAAATGGCGATCGCCACCGAGTCTCAAGAAGAACACCAGGTGAGATAACCAACAAGCTTCGTTCAATTTTTCTTTTTTGACGAGTTTTTAGGGTTCTATGATGATTTTTAATTTTGCTATTTCTGAGAATGGATTTTTATATATCTGCTTTTTCTCTCGTTTTGCTTTCGTTCCTTTCTCTATCTAGAATCTTCTTCCTCCTTTTTTCCGCTTGTTGTTTCTCCTTTATGATTTATTTTGGAATGGAGGCTTAGCTCACCGGACAAAAATTGGGGATGATAATGGAGATTGGAGAATGTTAAATCCGGTTAATTAATAATTAATTGTTACCTCCCCTGATTTTTCTTTGTTTTCAAACATAAGGGAACAAAATAATTGCAATTATGACTTTTGAATTCAAATATGCCCTCATGTAACAACAGTTAGAATAAAATTTTATGCTTCACACGATAATGTATTTGTGTGACACTACTGGAAATATCAAAGTGAAACTTGGAAAATTGCATATTGATTCTCCTTTCTGCATTAGAGATACAAGTTTGCAAATCGATTCACGATTCTTCGAATCCAGATTCCAGATCAGTAATCTATGCCAATTGTAAGGGTTGTGCTTTAATTTTGATCGCGTATAGCCAACAATTTTGTAACATAAACTTTATATTTTCGAAGGCACTGAGCACAATGCACCATTATTTCTTGTGTCATATGCTTGTATATGTAAAAATGTATTTTTTTCCTTTTTTTTAATAGATTTCTTCGGAGAGCACTGCAGCAGAGAGATTGAGATGGACTCTAAACGACTTCGACATAGGAAAGCCTCTCGGCAGAGGAAAATTCGGACATGTGTATCTCGCTAGAGAAAAGAGGGTAAGTAGTGGCACTCAAATCTATGATCTTTATAATGTGAGGGTTATTTGTATTGAAACGTATGATACTAAAATGTATGTTCTCTCCTCTTTGCAAGCAGAGCAATCATCTTGTGGCACTAAAGGTATTGTTCAAGAGCCAGCTAAAACAGTCGCAGGTTGAGCATCAGCTTCGCCGTGAAGTGGAAATACAAAGCCATCTGCGACACCCTAACATATTACGACTCTATGGTTACTTTTACGATCAGGTAATTAATTATACGAGGCTGCTTTTCTTTCAGTCTATGAGTTGAATAAAAGTGATTGGTTACAAGACATAATCATAACATGTTAACTGCAGAAACGAGTTTATTTGATTCTGGAATATGCTGCCAAGGGTGAACTTTACAGAGAGCTGCAGAAGTCCAAATATTTCAATGAAAGACGCGCTGCTACAGTGAGTCGATAGTCTTTAAATTCTTCATTTTAGTTTGCGGCTGAAAAGACGCTTGTGTTTTTTTGGATTTTTAATTATGGAATATGGAACAGTATGTGGCGTCATTAGCTCGGGCACTTATTTATTGCCATGGAAAGCATGTGATTCATCGAGACATTAAACCAGAGAACCTTTTGGTTGGAGCACAGGTAATTAATTTGTAAGTTCTTGAGAAAATTTTCCAAGCCTTTTTTTTTTCTCATATGAATTAGTGTTCCCTACTTTGCCAGGGTGAACTGAAAATTGCAGACTTTGGTTGGTCTGTGCACACTTTCAATCGCAGACGAACTATGTGTGGCACACTAGATTATCTCCCACCTGAGATGGGTAATGCTTATTTTAATACTTCCAATTTTCAGGTTGATTTAAATTAATTCAAGAACACAACATATATGTGTGAGTGTGTGTGTGTGTTTCTTTGGGATGTTCAATTTTTTTGTTTCTTCTTAATATAGTGGAGAGTGTGGAGCACGACGCAAATGTGGATATATGGAGCCTTGGTGTCCTTTGCTATGAATTTCTATATGGGGTTCCTCCTTTTGAAGCAAAAGAGCATTCGGACACATATAAAAGGTAAATATCGAAGCATATACAAATCAATTATTAAATCGCTAAAGAGAAAATGAAATGACTTACGAAAAAATTGGAAGTTGCTATAGAAATGTGAACACCAAATTCTAAGATGCCGCCATCTGGCTGTGTTCTTCTGTGCAGGATTATCCAGGTGGATTTAAAATTCCCTCCCAAACCAATCGTCTCTTCGGTTGCAAAGGATCTCATAAGTCAGGTAATTAATTTAATCTCTCTACATATTAAACCTCCCACATAAGCTATCTTAAGTTTGTCTAATACTTTTTTGTTCGATTTTGGTAATAACAGATGCTTGTCAAGGACTCCTCAAAGCGTTTGCCTTTACACAAACTGCTTGAGCATCCATGGATCGTGCAATACGCCGATCCGTCTGGCGTTTACAAGGGTTGATTGATGTGTTAAATTTTCTTTAGCCCCATCATCAACTAAAATAAAGTCAGTCTTATGTAAAAATATCTGTGTTGTGCCAACTAGATTCGAGTATGGTATTGTTCTCTCGTAAACTGGAAACTATTGATCTGGATCGATGTATTGATTTGTAGTATTATGAATTAATGATTTACTTTGCCTTGCGAATCTATATACTTTATATAAAATACTTACACCTATGTACACGTATATATATTTTCAGAATTGCGTTCCTAAAAAATTTGAATTACAATCATCTCCACGAAGATCCCAGGTTTAAGAAACGCAAATTCCACCCTGCTAATGGTTTTATTTACCTTCTTGCTTTGTTTTACTGCTTTTTTTTGTTTTTTCCTTCGTGGATCATGAAAACTCATTTCATTATCTAAACACATCTAAATTCGTGCTACGATGATGCAACCATTGGTCCTTGAAATTTATGAATCATGTTACTATATTGCATGATAACTACCGGGAATTTCTCGACCGCCATGTATAGAGGTTAATGAGCCGCAGTTTGTAAGAGACCGCAATTTACCTAGTGCACATACAGCCTAAGTGATCATTTGTCTAATTTGAGTTGCAGTTCACAAATGAAGGATTTATTGTTCTTGATGAAGTCTTCGGCCATGAGCTATCATATAAGCGTTTATTGCATTCAGCACCCTTGTGTTTCTTTTAATTACTAAAAAACTCCCCATATTAGCAAAAACACCCCCATATTCAGTTCTTTTAGCAAAAACACCCCTATAAACTCACTATTTAGGAGTGTGCTAAAAAAAGTGCATTATAATGGAGATGGGGTTTCCCAATAAATCAAGAAAACCAAGAATAAAATCACAATTGTAGACTCAATTGGACATTCAACCCTTATTTTTAACAATAATAATTTGAGAAATGTTGCCAAACCCAATGAACCCATCAGATATGCAATACCACCATATAACACTAGCTAATGAACACTCAAAGGACCTCTAGGAGCAAGTCGATGTGAAAACACCCGGACTAGATTTTATTCGTAAATGTACCAAGTGATCGACGGGGTTAGTACTAGTAGTAGTACATACAGAAGAGACACTTTTAGTCTCAGTATCTCTAATTTAAATAAGTTAAAGAAAGAAAAGGGGAAAAAGAAACTTCAACAACAAATTCACTGCCCGAAGCTGAGGCATCCTAACAGATCGGTGACCTTGAAATTTGTTCCTACACGACCCGATTAATCCAAAATTATTGTACATATTTCAAACTCTGAAATGTGAGGTGCAAGATCGAGTACTCAAGAATCAAGTGCTTTTTATTTCATTTCAGGCTGGTTTTCTGTATTACCTGAGTTCTCACCAGTGAGCTTATTTACTTTGAGGAAGCTCGGTTGATTAGTTGAAGAGAGAAGCCTCGCCCACATTCTGTCCGTTATCACAACCTTGTTTTGCTTTTCAGTAATACGCTGCAAAAATAAACCATTTTTTCATTGAATACCAAGCCTTCAAGTATAAGTGTTATTGGCTACGAGAAAAGGTAACGTGGAGCTCTCGGGTGGGTGGTGCTTTAGTTTTCCGGATAAAATAAAATTTCTTCAGGTTTTATGATTGGTTGGTAATAATCGAGGATTAAGTACAACAGTATTATAACAGAGAAGTACAAGTTGTGATGAAAATAATCATAGGATGAATTGATTCTTCAGCTTGTTATATCTCTTTTTTCCTAATTAATACTAGTAAACTTTTGAAATTTCAAGAACTTTGTTTTTTCTGTCACCTCATATGAAGTTGTTTTATAGCGTAAAACATTATTAGAAGTTAAATTGTGGTCCTAGTGAGAGTAAGAGTACTTGTAATAGAAAATCACTCACATTGAAAGGGATGCATGTATGGCGGCCATTAACAAGCCCACTTGTGAAGCCCGTGTACCCCGCCATTGCTCCATGAACAGCACTCTGAGCAAGGAGTGTGCAGTAAACGTTGTCCGACGCATTGCTAGGAATAGCACGGATCATGTAAGTTGGATCTGCAAAATCATGTTGTTAGTTTTGTTCCTCCTTAATTATAAGAAATAGGATAAAATTATTCCGGCATGAGTACCTATGTATTTGAGAGTGATCGGAATTTTATTTTGCTTCGCAAAATGTTCCTGTCAAAAGAGAAAAAAATGAGCTCAACAGAAATCCAACTTAACACACCAATCTTACACTGATAAAATCCAACTTAACATTCTCACATTCTGATGGCCATGTTTAGTTCACATGTATAGTGACAAGCATGTTTTCTTGTTATCAAGAGTCAAGACAATGCAAACACTTGTTGCAGCCCAAGTGTCTGAAATGTTTCCTTTCCTCTTTATCGCATTTAATGATTATATGAAAAGAAATAAGAACACATCTGTGTAAAATGTACCTTTATTTTTTGAGAAATCCATAACCCGACGTCTTGAAGTAGCTTGTTCCCTGAAGCATCTTCTTCATTTTTGGCTGTAAGAAGCTCCTGTGCTGCTCCTTCAGCAATAACAATAACCATATGTCCATTTTCTTTGAGCCTTTTCTCCATGTATTCAAAAAGCCCTCCCTTTCCTTCAAGATAAAAGGGTGATTCCGGAATCAAACAGCAGTCCACGTCTCGACTGGCCAGAGTAGCATGCATTGCAATAAAACCTGCACCGTATATTCCAACAAGTTCAGAGGGAATATATAGTATGCTAGCATGAAAGAAGTTGCATGTCAAGAGTGATTATAAAGCTCTAAAGGGGAGGTAACTCGTGCTTTCTCATGTCTCAATATGTTTATGTTGTTGGACAATGGAGTTTGCCTGTATGTTGTTGTATCCTTGTAACACGGGCAAAACCCAGGTTTTCAAACAAGGTGGAAGATTAATGCAGAAACACCCGGACCCACCCACAACACTACGATTTTGGAAAGTGAAGTTAATAGCTAATAATGGTTAAGAATTTTTTTTTAATAGCCTAATTAATTAATTGTGTGAAGAATCATTGTACCACTGTAGCGACCCATTAGTTTCACTACACCAATTCCATTCTCCGCACTCTCAGCTTCAACATGTGCAGCATTTATGGCACGCTGAGCTTCCTCTACAGCAGTATCAAAACCAAATGATCTATCAATAACCTGATAGCAGAAGCCAAAGCAAAATTGTAACTCGTCAGAGATTAAAACCATAAATCCATGTGCATACGGTAAAAAATGAAAGAAAAAAAATCAAGGAAATTGATAGGCACAAGGTTAATGTGCATATAAGATGATACAAGCTGAAGGGAGAAGAAGTTTATCAATAAGTAGGGAAGGATGAAAGATACCGGAATATCATTGTCAATTGTCTTGGGTATACCAGCAACAGCAACCTTTAGACCACGCTTTCTAATTTCCTGCAAAAGAAACTAAAGGTAATGAAGACAGAAATAGACACTCTAAAAATCAAAGATATCTCCTCAAAAGTACACATATTGCTATATAGTTGAGAACATCAGGCAGTTCATTTTATGCATAAAGACCCTTTGGAAGTTAAGGTCAAAATGACAGCTATAAGTTAAGCCAAAAACTGCAAAATTTCTCTAGAAATATGTACAAAAAAGACATGTCAACACTATAAAATATTCTACAAAAATAGGGCTGAAGATTATGTCAAACTCATGTAAAGGACTCATCACAACATTAGATACATGAGAAAAAGGAAAATCATTACATAAGGCCTCCACCAACTATTCTCAGAAATTAACTACCATTTTTTTTGATGATTTTCAGCTGCTTTCCATATAACTATATGGACTACCAAGCCAAAACACGAATACTCAGAGAGTAACTCCATAGAAAAGCGGCTATTAGAAAGTAACTCTATTCCCAAAAAAGGATACCTCATAGATCACAGCTGCTCCTTTCAGAGTGCCATCTCCTCCAATTATATAAACCTGAGCCAGTAATACTGTTCATCAGAGCCAAAATGCAGTTTATTACAAGCCAAAACAGTAGCAGTACATGGTGGAAGGGAAGTAAAATTCCAGATAGAGTTATGTAGAAGATTTCTTCAATATTAAGCACAATCAAACACATGCCTGATTAATTCCGCGGTCCTGAATGCTGTCAACAATCTTCAAGGTGTCATGGCCACCTCGAGATGTTCCCAGGATTGTTCCGCCACGCTTGTGTATGTCATTCACAATCTTTGGCGTCAAAGTAATTGTATTCTTTGCATAGAAACCCCTATAACCTCCCTAAGAGAAGAGATACTGTCATTAGGAGATTATTAACATGTAAAACGATGATTGCATTAACATTGTCATAGAAACTGCACTAGAGAGGATATGGAAGTTTTAGTACTAACTAGAAGTGGTGTGGCTGATGGAGTTAGCAGAATACTCAACATTAAATCCACATAAAATTATACGGAATATATTCAGAAGTACGTTCGACAAACTGGTATTACTAGGATTTCACGGCAATAAAAAGGCAAGCGGGTAAAGGTTAATTTAATTAAAATAGTTATTATGGCTTTAACATAATATAATATTTACCATAATCTTCCTCATTTTTTAAATGCATTTAGATATTGTTTCTCTTTTTATTATCTGTTTTCATGTATTTTTTGAAATAAAATTATAAATAGGCCTTTTTAAAGTCTGTTGGGCATGAGAAAAACCACGTCAACAGTTGCCCTGCCATTATCTATGCAAGGAAAGTCAACACTAAAGGATTCTGAAGATAGTAATTGCGACAATTAACATTAATTATATGACAAACTTACATCAATTCCAAGGACTTTGTTGACACCATACATATAATCAAGGCTGTGTACAATTTCTCTGATCACCGTGTTTAGCCCAGGACACAAACCACCACAAGTCACGATACAGGCATGCACCTCATCTGAAGGAAAATAGACCTGCGCGAATCAATGCAAATTTAACCAATCTTGCTTAACTGCTTAAAATGATAAAGAAAAAAGTACCTTTTGACGAGGTCCAGCTCTCCGAAAATGTACGCCTCTTGGTGTATCCTTGTGAACAACAATCTGTAAAATATGATAGAAACATATCACACTCCAGTGATAGAAACATATCACAACACCACCTTAACTTATAAACCTCAAGATGTTTTTTATCTATTCCAATTTGGAATTTTTATACTACGATATTCTTTATTACGTGTTGCCATATCATTTCATAAGCCACTTTCAGCCTAATAGCATCTTATACAAGCATGATTTAGCCAAGATTCAGGGCTCGACTACATATAAATGAAACGGATATACACAGCCTTCTGACTCATGACCCTGATTGAACAAAGCAAGTTGAAGAGTAGAAATCACCTTTTCAGGGACACTATCATCCATGTCAACAAAGTACTGCCTGAAAAAATAATCACGATCAATTACTATCATGTAGAGACAATATATCATAACATCACTGCAAGAAAAGAAAGATCAACTAACTTGACAACTGAATAGGCAGGATTTGATCGTAGCGGATTTGGATAAGTCTGCAAAGACAATAAAGAGCAAACACATTATTTTTGTAACAAGCACCGGTCAGAAAGAATATATATTAGAAGTAAATATAAAGGAGCAATAAAAGAGGGCATATAATGGGGACATAGTTTCCCATTATTTCCTGCATTTGTAAGAGTAAAATATAAATACGAATGGAAATACACCAAGTACAATATGACAGTCCGTTTCGGTCCATTCTTTCATTTCAGTTTTCACCTTTAGTTCTGCTATGGTCATAGACAATTGTTTGAAACCAGTACATTAAAAAATTCCTGCTAAAGCGTTAACAGAATAGTGAAACTGAACTCCAGCCAAGACTAATCAAAATTATGTATCTGATCTACATTTAGAAAAACAATGCCTGAATATTCAATACATCCATCACGAATATGTAATACAACAATTATTTCTTATTTACTAGTCAGTTTCTAAAATTACGTAAAAGAAACAGAAATAATGAGGATTTTTTTTATCTTGTTTCTTTTCGTTTTTCATTCCAGAATGCAGTAATGCACTGTCTCACCTCCTCATTGACATTCTAAAAACCAACATATTTGACCTCGTGTATACACAGAACAGGTGAAAGAGGCACATATATCTTATATGCGAAACATGTGTAAGATTGTGTACATAAAGTAGGTAAAAATTATTCATAAGCAGCATATTTGAACAACTGATTATATATATATGAGGATGCAGATTCAGTACATTAATACATTTCATATGTCACTCAATTCTGCACATATATTTTCTTGGCATTTTTCCAAGATGAACCCTGCCCGGTTTATTGATATAAATATTTCAAGAAATAAATACTAACTCATGTTTAAGAAAGTCAAGTTCCATGCTTATCCCATTCTCGGAACCAAATACACAAACCAAAATCCGTCACTTTTCGATCATACTTTAGTAAGAAACTACACAAATCTCTAACGAAACATACTCACCACGAAATAACATAATTACGCTCAAATAAAACTTCCAATGTAAAATAAAACGATCACGCTAACAAAATTGCCTAGCTAAAAAACCGAAATCATACAATATATGAAACGGTTGCAAGCTAATATACAAATTTATCTACTGAACAACACAAAATAGTTCCACAAGTCAACCCATGAAACTAATAATCTACCAAAACACTGTCACAAAATATTCACACTTAATCAAATAAACAAAATCAATCCAGCAATACCATCACATAACTAGAAACCTAAATTATATATATTGGGTGAAGTTACGCGATAACGTGTTGCAATATTCACGATCCTGAATCACATACACAATATATAAAATTAAGCAAAAAAACACACCAAATATGTAGATTCGTACAAACATATTTCCATGTTAAAATTCACTAAATCACATAACATGAAATTAAATAAACAACGCGCGCAGACACACAACGCCAATCGATAGATACAGTATGTGTATGCATAGATGAAATGAAATGGGAAAAAAAACATACAGGGAGATCCGGAATGTAGTCGCTGAAATGAGGTACATCTTGGAGGACGTATCCGAACTCTCCTGTAACCACCTTCATCTGATAACTCCTCTCCGAACCCATACTCTGCGCAGAAAGTCCACCGCTTTCTCTTGTTGACGAAGATCAAATACAGCAACAGCAAAACGAAATAAATTAAATTAAAAAAAAAAATTGGAGGTTGATGTAGTATATCTATATATGCTTCTCCACTTCTATGAAGAAACTCATTAATTTAATTAATGGCGATTGAAATGGTAGGAGAGAGAGAGAGAGAGGATTTCGATCGGAGCCTTGATTTTAGGGTTGAGGTTTTCTAATTTTCTAAACAATTTGCTGACCGCGAAAACAGGTGGCGCGCCACTTCACTCTCTTTTTTTTGACTCTGGATAATGGCGAAAACAGGTCTGTGAGCATGGTACCACTATTGAAGCGTGAGGTACAAGGCTACCGTTTTTTTGCAGGTGTTTGGTGTGGACCATTGAAAGATTCTGGTCAACTTTAGTGTGGGCCCAGATTCTGTTTTGCGAATTGTTTAATTTGTTAGCCCATTAATCAGAATGAGTAGGTGGGCTTAACCCATTATTTGTCCAAGTTGAGTGATAGTCTAATATATACAATTGGGCCTCTATAAATTAATAGAATTGAAATTAGGAAAATTCTATTAAAATTTAGTAAGATATTAAATTATTGAACTAATAAATTAATATGTTTTCAATGAGTCGGGGACCGTGATAAATTATTATTTAACCGATATTATTAATTTATTGAAGTTCTACTGTAATTAGATATGGTTCTCGATCAATCCAATTGTCCAATATACAAATGGACTATTTGACACTTTTTTTTTTAATATTTGTTATAATATTTTATATTTTTTTATATAAAATTCATATATGAGAGTAGTTAATAAATTTTCAGTTCTTTGTATTAGATATGTAAAATTTTGGTACTATGTGTGATTTATTGATAAAATTATCAATTTGACAATAATCATATAAAAGTTTGTAGTTTTACTAAGATAATTTCAGATATTACATTAATTTATAATATCTTGTTCAAAATTCAAATATAGACGGGAATTTTCATACTATTTTTCGATTTTTGCACCAAAGGAAATGCAACGGAAATCTGAAGCTTCCTTGGACTAGCCGGTTACTATTGCAAATTTGTGAAAGATTTCTCGAAGCTTGTCTCTCCACTCACCCGATTAACTCGAAAAGACGTTAAGTACCAGTGGACTCCAGAATGTGACGCAAGTTTCACCGAATTAAAGTATCGGCTCATATCGGCACCAATTCTCGCACTACCAGAGAAAGTTGGAGAATTCATAGTCTACAGTAATGCCTCGAAACTAGGGTTGGGCGCCGTACTCATGCAAAATGGAAAATTCATTGCCTACGCCTCACGACAACTCAAAGAGTATGAACGCAATTATCCAACGCACGATCCAAATTAGCTGTCGTCGTTTTCGCACTCAAAATTTGGCGACACTATCTCTATGGTGAAAAGTGTACCATCTACACCGATCACAAAAGTCTGAAATACTTTTTCACTCAAAAAGACCTAAACATGAGGCAACGGAGATGGCTCGAGCTAGTCAAAGATTACGACTGCGAGATACTCTACCACCCCGGCAAAGCTAATGTGGTCGCCGACGCACTTAGCCGCAAATCGATCAACGCCCTCATAGTCCAACCTAACTTGGGAGAATCAATCAAATCCGCCCAACAGAATGATCCACAAATTCTCAAGATTCGCAATAACCTCGAAGCCAATCCAAACTTCCGAATCTCCGAAGAAGGACTCGTCCGATTTCAAGATCGTATTTATATTCCCGACGATCCAAATGTCCGCTGACTAATATTAACCGAAGCTCACCAAACCGCGTACACTTGCCATCCCGGAGAAACCAAGATGTACCAAGACCTCAAAAAGCTATATTGGTGGCCTGGAATGAAGAAAGACGTGGCCCGATTCGTCGCCGAATGCCTAGTGTGCCAACAAGTCAAAGCGGAACATCAAAGACCCGGAGGCCTACTTCAACCGAACCTATTTCCAGAGTGGAAATGGGAAGCTGTCACGATGGACTTTGTGCAAGGATTTCCGACGTCGGAGAAGAGAAGAAAGAAAAATGGCTGAAGAAAATAGAAGAATGTAAAGGAGAGGAGGAGGGAAGACCACCCCTTTTTATAGTTGAAAACGCAGGGGATTTGAAAAGACCCGCCTGCGCTGCATTAATGGCGAGTGGACAGTGCAGACGGCGCTACAACTTTCAAAAAAATATATATTATTATTATTTAATCAATCAATTAATTAATCAAAATCTATACGTTTATTCTGCTGATGAATGTGAAACGAGGCACGTTATTCGAAGCAGAGCAATAATTATGCTGAGGAGGCGAGTGGAGGAATGGAATACAAACCGTCTCTCGCGAGGAACGAACTCGCAGCTACTCGCTGCCGGTCACGAGTAACCGCGAGTGGGGGACTAGTTGATCCAGCCCGTTACCGTTTGGCAGATCCAGTGAAGCCCAAAGGCCCAATTAGGGTCAAAAGGCACCATTAGGCCCACCAAGAGAGGAGGGCCCATTAAGTTGACGCCTTGTTAGGCGAGAGGGACCAAGCGACCCGCGAGAATGAGAAGCTCTCTCGCTCTCTCACAAGGCTTCTCGCCCGACCAGCCCGGGAGTCGGTGTTAGCTGCACGTGGAGGTATTTAATGCATGTCCAATCCACTGATAGACGCAGAGGAATGTCGTTCTGGTCTCCTACTTTTTGCAGCTACAACCGCCAATGAAATGACATATTAAACTGTATTGAAGGTAATTTGGAGTCCGGGATGCCTAATTACCGCGACTGGACAGGTAAATTCAATTGGAGAATATTTGACGTCCGTCCCCTTTCTAGTATAAATAGGGGCAGTAAATACAGGTATCGGGATATACACAAATCTTCTACACCAATTACATATAAAAAACATAATATCTTCCTCAAGAAGTTACTGACTTGGCCGTCGGAGTGCTAACTCCGGCCTAAGTCCGGTTCTTTTCTTTTTGTAGGTTCATCCGCGGGCCCGGGTCCAAGTTCAGGCCTACCTATCTCTCTAAATTGACCCACCACGAATCCAGCCGGATCAACCTCCCTGACTGAAATAGTTCTGAAAATTGCATAATCACCCCTATACTTGCTCCATCTTCTTAGCCGCTCCACCCAAATTGCAAATTTGACCCCAAAGTGGATCTCTCTTTCACTATCCAAAATATCCGCCACATTTACGAAAATCCACAATACCAAGCACATTTTTTTATGATTTACGATTCAAATTTTACGACTCAATTCATTCTTATCTATGTCGATTGAAATGTAAAAATAAATCTTAAATATCAACTAATCGATCAAATTTTAAGATTTTTAATCCATTTATTATTATACCTTTTTTTTTATTTTGTTCCTTAAAATAGAAATGCACCCCAGTGGGGGTCAATTTGTAATTTTTGGAAATCTACCACGCTGACTGAAACAGTTTTGAAAATTACAGAATCACCCTTATACTTACTCCATCTTTCCATACACTCCACCCAAATTGCAAATTTAACACTAAAGTGGATCTCTCTTGCAATATCCGAAATATCCGACACCAACGCAGTATGCTTTGACTCCTCCTCATCTATAATCGCGTGTGACTCATTTACGAAAATTCGCAATACGGAGTTTAAAATCTTATGTTTAAGATTCAATTCTTACGATTCAATTCGTTCATACATAAGTCAATTCAAAAGTTAAAATAAATCTTAAGAATCAACAAAACAATCAAATTTTACAGTTTACGATTTAAGAAAACTTTAATTTATTATATTATTTATAATAAACTTGCGATAATTACAGTTTTTGTCCCTATATTATATAGAGTTTTTTATTTTGGTCCTTAAACCGGAAATCCCCAAGTGGATGACAATTAGTAATTTCTGCAAATCCACCTACTTGGCTAATATAGGTCTGAAAATTGCAGAATCACCCTTATACTTACTCCATCTTCCTAGCCGCTCCACCCAAATTGCAAATTTGACCCCAAAGTGGATCTCTCTTTCAACATCCAAAATTTCCGCCACATTTATGAAAATTCGCAATTCCGAGCATAAAATCTTATGATTTACGATTCAAATCTTATGATTCAATTCATCCATATCTATGTCGATTCAAATGTTAAAATAAATCTCAAATATCAACAAATCGATCAAATTTTACGAATTTTGGTCCCGCTATAATGTACCTTTTTTTTTTGGTCCTTAAACCAGAAATGCACCCCAAGTAGGGATGAATTTGTAGTTTCTGGAAATCCACCTCCCTGGCAGAAATAGTTTTGAAAATTGCAGAATTACCCCTATACTGACTCCATCTTCCCAGCCGCTCCACCCAAATTGCAAATTTAACCCCAAAGTGGATCACTCTTGCAATATCAGAAATATCCGCCACCAACACATTATGCTTCTATTCTTCCTCAGCTATAATCGCGTGCGACTCATTTACGAAAATTTGCAATACCGAATTTAAAACCTTATGATTTACGATTCAAATCTTACGATTCAAACCGTTCATACCTATGTCGATTCAAAAGTAAAAATAAATCTTAAATATCAACAAAAAGATTAAATTTTACGATTTAAGATTTAAGAAAACTTTAATTTATTATATTATTTTTAATAAACTTATGATAATTACAGATTTGGTCCCTGTATTATATACCATTTTTAATATTGGTCCTTAAACCGGAAATGCCCCCAAATGGAGGTCAATTTGTAATTTCTGAAAATCCACCTCCCTGGCTAAAATAGTTCTGAAAATTGCAGAATCACCCCTATACTTACTCCATCTTCCTAGCCGCTCCACCCAAATTGCAAATTTGACCCCAAAGTAGATCTCTCTTTCACTATCCAAAATATCCGCCACAGTTACGAAAATTCGCAATACCGAGCACAAAATCTTATGATTTACGATTCAAATCTTACGATTCAATTCAGTCATATCTATGTCGATTGAAATGTGGAAATAAATCTTAAATATCAATTAATCGATCAAATTTTACGATTTTTGGTCCCTATATTATTATACTTTTTTTTAAATTTTGTTCTTTAAACCAGAAATGCACCCCAGTG